CCAGAGGAAGAGCACAGACTTCCGCTACTCGCACTCCGGAGCAGATAACTCTCCAATTTCAGACTCCAGTAGCTTAGCCAGTTGGAGCAGTTTAGCGGGGTGTGGTAGTTCAGACCGGTGATGGAGCAGCTATGTCTGTTGATGCCTTATAGAGATTGGACAAGTTCACTAAGCTCTTCACTACCACCTTCAGCGGTGCATCTTCTGAGGAACCCCGGGATTATTTAGACAGCTGTCATGAGGTTCTCAAGAACATGGGGATAGTGGAGACCAATGGGGTTGACTTTACTTCTTTTTTCTTATCTGGATCTGCCAAGACTTGGTGGAGAGATTATTGTTTGGCTAGACCAGTTAGGTCACCAGCTTTGACTTGGGATCAGTTTTCTCAGCTATTTTTGGAGAAGTTTCTTCCTGTCACTCAGAGGGAGAACTATCGAAAGTAGTTTGAGCGTCTCCAGCAGGGTTTTATGATTGTTACTCAGTACGACACCAGATTTATTGATTTGGCACGTCATGCTCTTCTTATAATTCCCACTGAGAGAGAGAGAGTGAAGAGAGATTAATTGAGGGACTCGTTCAGCCTATTCGATTGTAGATGGCTAAGGAGACGGGGAGCAAGATTTCTTTTCAGGATGCGGCCAATGTGGCCAGGAGAGTTGATATGGTTCTATCACAAGGGAGTGGTCAGAGGTCTGACAAAAGACCTCATCATTCTGATAGGTTCAGTGGTGCCTCATCTAAAGGCAGGGATTCTTTTGGTAGAGGCCATCCTCCTAGGCACTTTTAGTTAGCACTGCAGGCTTCTCACGGTGCCCCAGGTGGTCGTGGTTCTCACATGCAGTATTCTGACAGCAGTCCTATAGTGCATTGCCAGCTCCTATCAGTGCACCTCCGCTTCAGAGTTTTCACGGTCGTCAGTTCCAGCAGTCTAGGGCTTATTTTACTTGTGGAGACACGAGGCACATTGCTAGATTTTGCCCTCGAGCACCGAGCAGTTCTCAGCACCACGGTTCCCGTGCCATGGTTCAGGCATCGAGTGTTCCACCGCTCGCCTAGCCAGCTAGAGGTGGAGGTAGGGGTGCTAGAGGTGGAGGTAGGGGTGCTAGAGGTGGAGGTAGGGGTACTAGAGGCGGAGGTAGAGGTATTAGAGGTGGAGCTCATGCCGCTAGAGGTGGAGGCCAGCCAGTAGGAGGCCGTCCCAGAGATGTAGTTTAGAGTGGTGGGGCCCAGCCCCGATGTTACGCTCTTCCAGCCAAGACTGAGGCTGAGGCTTCCGATGTAGTTATCACAGGTACTGTCCTGGTTTGTAGTAGAGATGCTTTAGTTCTATTTGATACAGAGTCTACATACTCCTATGTGTCATCTTATTTTGTACAGTATCTGGTCATGCCTAGTAATTCTTTGAGTGCTCCTGTATATGTGTCTATACCGGTGGGTGATTCTATTATGGTAGATCGTGTCCATCGTTCATGTATAGTTGTGATTGGGGGTCTTGAGACTCGAGTAGATTTGTTACTTTTGGACATGGTTGATTTTGATATCATATTGGGGATGGACTGGTTATCACCTTACCACGCTATCTTGGACTGTCATGCCAAGATTGTTACCTTAGCCTTGTCGGGGTTGCCTCATTTAGAGTGGAGAGAGACTCCTGGTCATTCTACTCATAGTGTTATCTCATATATGAAGGCACGGTGAATGATCGATAAGGGATGTTTGGCCTATTTGGAATATGTTTGTGAGGTGAGGTTCCTTCTATGGATTTTGTGCCTGTTGTTCGTGAGTTTCCTGAGGTGTTTCCTTCAGACCTGTCAGGTATGTCACCCGATAGGGATATTGACTTCTGCATTGATTTGGCTCCAGGCACCCAGCCCATTTCTATCTCGCCGTATCACATGGCCCTGCCTGAGTTGAAAGAATTAAAGGAGCAATTGCAAGACTTGCTTGATAAAGGATTCATTAGGCCTAGTGTCTCGCCTTAGGGTGCGCTAGTGTTGTTTGTTAAGAAGAAGGATGGATCGATGAGGATGTGTATAGATTAACGGTAGTTGAACAAGGTTACAATCAAGAATAAGTATCCATTGCCGAGGATTGATGATTTGTTTGATCAGCTTCAGGGTGCCAAGGTATTTTCGAAGATTGACTTGAGATTTGGCTACCATTAGTTAAGGATTAGGGCATCTGATGTCCCTAAGACAACTTTCTGCACTCGGTACGGGCATTATGAGTTCTTGGTGATGTCATTCGGGTTGACAAATGCCCCAGCAACTTTTATGGATTTGATGAACCGAGTGTTCAAGCCTTACTTGGATTCGTTCGTGATAGTCTTCATTGATGATATTTTGATCTATTCCTGAAACCGGGAGGAGCATGAACAGCATCTAAGAGTGATTCTTCAAACTTTGAGAGATAGTCAGTTGTATGCTAAGTTTTCGAAGTGTGAGTTCTGGTTGAGTTCGGTTGCATTCTTGGGTCATGTTGTATCAGCAGAGGGTATTCAGGTAGATCCGAAGAAGATAGAGGCAGTCAAGAACTGGCCTAGACCCGCATCAGCTATAGAGATCCGAAGTTTCTTGGGTTTGGCAGGCTATTATCGTCGATTTGTGGAAGGGTTTTCATCTATTGCAGCCCCGATGACCAAGTTGACCCAGAAGGGTACCCAGTTCAAGTGGTCGGACGAGTGTAAGGTGAGCTTTCAGAAGCTTAAGACAGCTTTGACTACGGCGCCAGTGTTGGTTTTGCCCATAGGTTCAGGGTCATATACAGTTTATTGTGATGCATCTCGTATTGGACTTGGTGTGGTGTTTATGCAGGATGACAAGGTCATTACTTATGCTTCGCAACAATTGAAGATTTATGAGAAGAATTATCCATTCCATGATTTGGAGTTAGCAGCCATTGTTCACACACTGAAGATTTGGAGGCATTATCTGTATGGGGTGTCATGTGAGGTGTTCACGGATCACAAGAGTCTGTAGTACTTGTTCAAGCAAAAGGAGCTAAATTTGAGGCATAGAAGGTGGTTGGAGCTATTGAAAGACTATGATATCACCATCTTATATCACCCGGGGAAGGCCAATGTAGTGGCCGATGCTTTGAGTAGGAAGTCAGCTAGTATGGGCAGTCTTGCATATATTCTGGTCGGTGAGAGACCGCTTGCCTTGGATGTTCAGGCTTTGGCCAATCAGTTCATGAGGTTGGACGTTTCTGAGCCCAGCAGTGTGTTAGCTTGCATAGTCGCTCGTTCTTCATTATTTGAGCGTATTCGAGATCAGCAGTATGATGATCCTAATTTGTGTGTCCTTAGGGAGACGGTGCAGCACAGAGGTGCCAAGCAGGTTACATTGGGAGATGATGGGGTTTTGAGGCTACATGGTCGAGTTTGTCTGCCTAATTTGGATGGACTGCGAGAGTTGATTTTAGAGGAGACACATAGTTCCCGGTACTATATTCATCCGGACGCCGCTAAGATGTATCATGATTTGCGGCAGCATTATTAGTGGAGGAGGATGAAGAAGGATATTGTTGCATATGAGGCTCGGTGTTTGAATTGTCAGCATGTAAAGTACGAGCATCAGAGACCTGGTGGTTTGTTCCTGAAGATCGAGATTCTTGAGTGGAAGTGGGAGCGTATCACTATGGACTTCGTTGTTGGACTCCCGCGAACTTAGAGGAAGTTCGATGCAGTATGGGTTATTGTTGATAGGCTGACCAAGTCAGCACATTTCATTTCTGTTGTAGTCTCCTATTCTTCTGAGAGGTTAGCTGAGATCTATATGTGGGAGATTGTTCGTCTTCATGGTGTGCCCGTGTCTATCATTTCGGACTGAGGTACGCAGTTTACCTCACATTTCTGGAGAGCAGCTCAGCGTGAGTTGGGCACAGGGGTTGAGTTGAGCACAACATTTCATCCTCAGACGGACGGGCAGTCCGAGCGCACTATTCAGATTTTGGAGGATATGCTCCGAGCTTGTGTCATTGACTTTGGAGGCTCGTGGGATCGGTTCTTGCCTTTAGCGGAGTTTGCCTACAACAACAACTACTAGACGAGTATCCAAATGGCTCCTTATAAGGCTTTATATGGTAGGCAGTGTCGGTCGTCGGTTGGATGGTTTGAGCCGGGAGAGGCTCGGTTGTTGGGTACGAATCTAGTATATGATGCCTTGGACAAGGTCAGGATCATTTAGGATAGGCTTCGTATAGCTCAGTCCAGGCAAAAGAGTTATGCCGACCGTAAGGTTCGTGATATGGCATTCATGGTTGGCGCGCGGTGTTGCTTCGGGTGTCGCCTATGAAGGGCGTGATGAGATTTGGGAAGAGGGGCAAGCTTAGCCCTAGATTCATTGGCCCGTTTGAGGTTCTTGATCGAGTGGGAGAGGTGGCTTACAGACTTACATTGCCGCCGAGCTTATCAGCCGTGCATCCAGTGTTTCATGTGTCCATGCTTCGGAAGTATCACGGCGATCCATCCTACGTGTTAGACTTCAGAACTGTCCAGTTGGACAAGGACTTGTCCTATGAGGAGGAACCGGTAGCTATTCTAGACCGACAGGTTCGTCAGTTGAGGTCAAAGAGTTTTCCTTCTGTTCGTGTTCAGTGGAGAGGTCATCCTGTTGAGGCAGCAACCTGAGAGTCCGAGTCTGATATGCAGAGCCGATATCCCCATCTTTTCTCCGACTCAGGTACTTTCTTCTATGATCTGAGGCCTTAAAAACCTCTTTTGCCTCACACTACAAGAAAAGTAGGATATGACGACATTTATTTAATGACATTTAAAATAAATGTCGCAAAAAAGGGGATTTTATGACATTTATAAGAAAGAGTTGCAAAAATAAAGACATTTAATACAAAATGTCACGGTTATAGTGACATTTATTTCAAATGTCATAATATTTGTCAGTAATTAACAACATTTATAACAAATGTTAGAAATTTCTCTACATTTTTTCCAGTAATTAAATGAAAATTTTAGTATTTTATCTTTCCCTCCCATTTTTCCCACGACAATCACCTATTCCGTCCCATAAGTGAAAATTTAGGGCATAATGAATTAAGTAAAAAACCCTTATCTATCGAAGTTTAGGAATTGCGGTCGCCTCTGCCCAATTTATCTCTCTCTCACCATCACCGGCAACCATTCCAGGTAACCCAACTCATCTCTCTATGTATATATATACACTCTCCTATCTCTTTTCTGAATTCTGGGTTTTCTATTTTAATCGGAGATCTATGTTTCTACGAAGGATTTCCACCCTTGTAAATTTTTATTTTTATTTAATAAGATTCAAGAACAAAATTTTCGAGTGTCGTCATTCATAATTGACGTCTTGTTTGCTATTTTTTATGTTTATTTTTTGTTTTGAAATTTTTGCCAATTAATATTTGCTTTAATTTTGACTTTTGGGTGGAGCATTAGGGTATTATATGCAAGGCTGTAATACATATTTTTTTCACCTTATGCTTGTGAACTAATTCTATGACGCAGGACAATTTTAGGAACTACCTTCGTTTCTGGCCAACTCTATTTTCAGTTTTTAATTTAGATTTTGTATCTGCTAAGTGCACTACAACACTTCGCTATTATGACATGTTGGACACTGAGAAGAGTATAAATTTTAGCATTGTATTGTTAAATTTAAATTGGATATTCGAGTTTGAGTTCTGTTTAGAGGATTGCTTTTCGACCTGCTTTGAAATGAGATAGCAGATTCACATGAATGACCTGTGGGTTCTGGCTATTAAACTCTGTTTCGTTGCGATTTCAGGTAATCCAATGTTTCATTGGGATTTCAAGTAGTTCAAATTTATGGTTCAGTTAGGAAGATTTTTCTTAGCCTCTTTTGCATAGCACGACACACTTGGCCTTCTAGTCAGGTTGGATTGATAATTCTTTCAGGTTTCATTTACATCTTATTTTTAAGTTTGCACTTTGATTTGTGTATTATGGGCCATTATTCTTATCTAGGATGAGATGGAAAGAGCTTGTGAATTGTTCATTTGAACATTCATTGACTAATAGGCAAAATGTGTGCTCTTGCATGTCATATTCTTAATATACTGTTGCTAAAATAGTCCTTGGCTAATTTAATGAATATATTAAGTATAAATGTGAATTTTCAGCCAAGAAAATGGTCCTAGATTACTTTTTGAATTTGATAGTGATTGTAATTTAACTCTCTTGCCCGACAGAGAAAGAGATATAAAGTTGTGGTAGCAGATAGATTTCTTCTCCATAAAACAGCACCTACAAGGCATTTCTTCTTTCATATTCTTTGTATGTCATATATGTGGTTTTTTCTTTATGTGGTGCTCTTTTGGTTAAATACTTCTGTGTATCTTTATTTCTGCTCAATAATTTGATCATTTACCATGTATCAACTCTTGACTCCGAGCTCAATTTGTACATACAAGGGAAGCCTTTCCTTAGAGTCCAGGAGTAGTGTTGTATAACTGGTTATAGGATTCAAGTTCTTTTTCTCTTTAATGTTGTTGTCCCTCTTAAATTTTTGAGAAAGAGCTGAGGTTAATATTGTTAAGTAGCAATTTATTCTACTTCTCAGGAACAATTATTAGCATTCTTAATTTACTGAAAGAACATTTATTTCTTTAGGATCAACTTGTAAATTCTGCTTTTTCTAGGAAGTTCGGTCTCTGAAGTCTTGTGTTTGGTGTTTCTCTAAAATAGCTTGATAATCAAATTTAAGTTTTGAATAGTCTAATTGTTTTTTGTCAGGTTAACATAATCAAGAATTGCAAACAGTGAAGCTGGCATGGAGAAAAATAAGAGGGTAAATTGTGAAAAAGTATAGAAGACACTCTTCTTTCTCTTTATTACTATATAGTTAGAATTTTTTTTATGTGGACTTCTTGTACAGTATTTTTGGTGGATGTGAGATCAATTACTAGCCAGGGAGTGCTCGACTTTTGGAAAGATGGTTCCACAGAGCTTTATTGCATAATTTATTCTGGAAGTTAAAGGGAATTAGCTCGGAATAGGAGTGATCTTAACATAGGTGTATGATGGATTATGTCTTTTATGATTTAATTAGTTTTAAGATTTGTCTTTTTTGATTTAATTAGTAATGGAGAGATGATTTAATTTGATGCCATCTAAATTGTAAGGAGTACGCTTATTCGGTCATCACTTTAATTTTTTTTTTTTGATACAATAATAAGAGTTATTTTCTTTAGATATATGTTGTATTTGTTACATTGATATGGTGTTTCATATTTATGAAATTACAGACTTGATAAAATATTTATGTCACTATGAAACAACTAATTTTGTATTGACATTAACCTTAATGTTGAAAATTTTGATATGACATTTCCCAAAATTCATAAATAAATGTCGTGAATCTTTTATTTCCATTCTAATATAAATGTCAGAAATATGATTGTGACATTTTAAAAAGGCTATAAATACATGTCGCAAATGTTTTACCAACATTAGGCTAAATGTCATAAATTTCAAGTGAATTTTATAAATGTCACAAATAAATGTCGCAAATCTCTTACCGACATTAACATAAATGTCGGAAAATTCCCGACACCAAAATTTACGACATTTAGTACAAATGTAAATTAAATGTCGGTAAATAAATTAACGACATTTAAGTGACCTAATACGACATTTATTTAATGTCGTCGTTTCCTTACTTTCTTGTAGTGTCACCTTGATTTGCGTGTGTAGTCCGGGTGTGTATCCGGAAAACCATTATGTGAAAATTTGTGAAAAATGAAAAAATTTGCTTTTAAAATGAATTTAAGTTGACTTCGAACAACATTTTGGGTAAACGGACCCGGACCCGTGATTCGACGGTCCCGGAGGGTCCGTAGGAAAATATGGGACTTGGGCGTATGCCCGGTATTGAATTTCGAGGTTCCAAGCCCAAGAAATAAATTTTTAAAGAAAATTATTTTCTAGAATATATAAGAGTTTTTGGAAATGAAATATATTTGAAATTGATGGTATCGGGCCCGTATTTTGGTTTCGGAGCCCGGTACAAGTTTGAAATAATAATCAGGTTGAATCTGTAAAATTTGGTAAAGATCGGAATCAGTTTGGTATAAAACGGACTTAAAGTTGAGAAATTGGAAATTTTGGTGTTCTTGAATGATTTCATGAATTTGGGGTTTAATTCATAGTTCTTGATGTTATTTTGATGATTTGATTGCACGAGCAAGCCCGTATGATGTTTTTAGGTTAGTGTGCATGTTTGGTTGGGAGCCCCGAGAGCGCGGGTGAGTTTTGGATAGGCCACGAAGTGGAATTGAACTTAGGAAGTTGCAGGTTTTCAGCTGGTATGTGTTGTAGGCCCTGATCTCGCAATTGCGAGATCAGGTGTCGCAATTGCGAGCCTATTAGGCTTGGGAATTGCGAGGGTCACTTCGCAATTGCGAAGTATGCCCTGGCCAGCCTTTCTCGCAATTGCGATCAATTCTTCGCAAATACGAATAACCTATAAATCCCCAACTATCATAAATGCGACACTCCCTTCGCAAATGCGAGTTCGCAATTGCGAACATCTGATCGCAAATGCGTGATAGCAGGTCCTGAAGGGGTTCGCAATTGCGACATCTGCAACCTGCTAAATCATAACTTAATCGAAAATTTCACATTTTTCAAGCCTTTTCAAAACCTAAACACCTTTGGGCGATTTTTCAAAGACAACTACTCTTCCAAATCGATTGTAAGTCAATTCTAACTCGTTTTTCTTAATCTTTAACATCTTTTCACATGATTTCAACTAAAAATCAAGGTTTTCATGGGGGGAAATTGGGTGTTTTGGGTAGAACTTAGGTTTTTCAATTTTGGAGATTTGGACCTCGATTTGAGGTCCGATTTCAAAACAAATTATATATTTGGGTTTGTGGGTGAATGGGTAATCGGGTTTTGGTTCGAACCTCGGGTTTTGATCATGTGGACCCGGGGTCGATTTTTGACTTTTTGAGGAAATCATTGGAAAACTTATTTTCATGCATTAGAATTGATTCATTTAGCATTTATTGATATAGTTAAGTAAATTGTGGCTAGATACAAGCGAATTGGTGGTGGAAACAAGAGGTAAAGCTGTAGTTGAGGCTTGAATCGTGTTCGTGGCATCGAGGTAAGTGTTTGGTCTAACCTTAGCTTGAGGGATTACGAGTTATGTCTTATTTGCTATGTGTTAATTGTGGAGTACGACGTATAAGCATGGTGACGAGTATCTATACGTCGGTGTTAAGCATGCCCGTGAGTCTCGTATTGTACTTGTTGTGACTCCGTTGTGATTTGTTCATGCTTAATATGTTGATTATCATTGTTGGTTCCCTTGCCGAGATGTTATTGTTTATGGTATTGTCTCCCTTGCCGGGATGTTATTGTTATGGCATTGTCTCCCTTGCCGGGATGTTATTGTTTACGATATTGTCTCCATTGCCGGGACGTTGTTGTTATAATCTTGTTCCCTTGTCGGGATTCTTTTATGATTGATGTTCATATGAAATGGGAGTAGGTGGCACGCCGCCACGGTGATATTTGAAATGGGATCGGGTTGCATTCCTGCAACAAGATATATGAAATGGGATCGGGTGACACGCATCTCCCGGTGATATATGAAATGGGATCGGGTTGCACGCCTGCAACAAGAGATATGAAATGGGATTGTTTTAAACGCCTGCAACAAGAGATATGAAATGGGATCGGATTGCATGCCTGCAACAAAATATATGAAATGGGATCGGGTGGCACGCCGCCACGTAATATTTGAAATGGGATCGGGTTGCACGCCTACAACAAGGAAGAAATGAAAGTGAATACTGTGTTTGTTTTTTTTTATCCTTGTTAACAATTGAATTTTGGTTTCTTTATATTCCTCTTTTGGTATTTTGTTGTTATCTAATACTCCTCGCAGCATGCTTTCCCCCTCTCATCTTTAACTGTAAATATCTACTTTTATTTTTCCGATGTATATGATTTAACTGCACAGGTTTATTTGGTAGTCTGGTCCTAGCCTTGTCACTACTTTGCCGAGATTAGGCTAGGCACTTACCAGCACATGAGGGCGGTTATGCTGATACTACACTCTACACTGTGTGCAGATCCCGGTGCAGTAGGTTTTGGACCGCAGTGAGGGTGCTGTCTTTAGTCCATTCAGGCGACCCGAGGTAGTCCTGCATGTAACGACCCGACCGGTCATTTTGATCTTTTACACTTCGATCGCTAGTTCTCGGGCATGACTTGCCCCGTGTGATGTATTATGACTTATGTAAATCGTTGATTTTGGTTTTCAGGGTAATCGAAATGAATTTGGAAGAACAGTTCTTAGTTTGAAGCTTGAAATTCGAAAGGTTTAACCAAGATTTAACTTGTTTGTATATGATCTCGGATCAGAATTTTTATGATTTGGTTAGCTTCGTTAGGTGATTTGGGATTTAGGAGCGTGTTCAGATTGTGTTTTGGAGGTCCGTAGCTTATTTAGGCTTGAAATGCCGAAAGTTGAATTTTTGAAGTTTCCGGTTTGATAGTGAGATTTTGATATAGGGGTCGGAATAGAATTCCGGAAGTTGCAGTAGCTCCGTGGTGTCATTTGTGACGCGTGTGCAAAATTTTAGGTCATTCGGACGTGGTTTGGTTGGGTTTTGATCAAAAGTGTAATTTGGAAGTTCTTGGAATTCTTAGGCTTGAATCCGATGCGATTTTGGTGTTTTGATGTTGTTTGAGTGTTCCGAAGGTTGGAACAAATTCGAATGAGGTTATGAGATATGTTGGCATGTTGGTTGTGGTCACGAGGGGCTCGGGCGCATTTTCGGATTGATTCCAGGCTATTTTTCCTTCATGTTTCACTGTTGTGTTCTCCTGATATCTGGTGCCTCAGTTCTTCATCGCGTTCGCGTCACGTGTCGCAAACACGTAGTGTATTTGCATGGCAGCAGCAAATTGCTTTTCGCGATCACGAAGTGTGTCCCGCGTTCGCATAGTGTTAGGGGAGGACTCCTTCGCGTTCGCATAAAGTTGGCTAGGAGCTGGGATGGAGGACCTTTCTTCATTGTGTTCGCGAGTCTTTGGACGCGTTCGCATAGCCCTGTATCCAATGTGTATCGCGTTCGCGAGGCTGGTGCCTCGAACGCATAGGGCATTTTGATGGCTGGTGTTTTTGTTCATCGCGAACACGATGGTTATCCTCCGTTCGCGAAGAAGGTTTTTGATGTCTGGGCAGAATGTTTAAATAGCCATTGTCCGCGATTTTGGGGCTAACTTTCACCATTTTTGGGCGATTTTGGAGCTTTTTGAGAGGATTTGAAGAGGGATTCAAGAGATAACACCTGAAGGTAAGATTTTAACTCAATACTCGATTCTTGTGTGAATTCTACCTAATTAATCATGGAAATTAAGCCTAAAATTGAGGAATTAGGGCTTGAATTTGGAGAGTGTAAATTGGGAATTTGAATGGGCAATTGAGGTCCGATTTTGATGTTCTTGGTATGAATATACTCGTGGGAGGATAAGGAACCTATTGATGTAAAATTTATCGGAATCCGAGATGTGGGCCCGGGGGCCGAGTTTGAGAAATTTCGTGATTTTTTATGCAAATTGGATATTTTCGAGTGGGCTTTGTTCTCTTAGCATATTTTAATAGTTATGTACTGATTGTGGCTAGATTTGGAGCATTCGGAGGTCAATTCATAAGAACAAAGGCATCGTGGGCTAGAGTTTGGACCAGATCGAGGTAAGTAATGATTGTAAATACTGTCCTAAGGGTTTGAAACCCCGGATTTCACATCGTTGTGCTACTTTGAGGTGACACACACGTTAGATGACGAGCGTGAAGTTGTGTACCGTTGGGGATTGAGACTTGGTCCATCCCGTACGACTGCTAAGTCACGTATTTGATTTGAAATCTTATGATATTCTATATTTTAGAGATTGATATTATATTTTGAGTTGTATGTCATGTTTGGGGCCTTGTGCTGACCTGTTGAGATCCTTAAGGGCATTTTCCCTAAAAAAAAATTCCTCACTCTATTTGTTTTTAAAGCATATCCTCATCATGTTTTACCTGTGTATTGTTTAAATCTGGTTTATCACTTTACTTCTTAAAATGTGAAAACTGTTTGGGCTGAGTTCCCTGTTTTACTGATG